TGGGAGAACTTGCACAATTGGTGGCTGACTAAATACTTTTTTGCCCCACTGTATGTTTTTCCAAATAGTTCCTTGTAAATGCTTAGAACATAGTTGTTGATTGTTGATACAATTATCCTTCCAGTCAAAAAGAAGAAAGTAGAACAGAGGAATTGTAAAAATAGCTATAGTATTAGGAATGTTAGAAGCAGCCAATAGAAATGCTTGGCAAAGCATGTGTGAGTGAAGAATTTCTGCTTAAAAAACAGCTGCATCCTGTCCCTAGTTGTCTTTGCTTGTATGTACATGCACAGCTACCACTTCTACTGAGGTGGCCAGCAAAGTGGCTGTATGTCCTCACGTGTGCAGGCAACTCAAGACAACTTTGAAATACTATGTGAGCCTTTCAGTGGGTGTTGCTCCTTAAGCTCTAAGAGGAGTGTTTTGCTCACCCAGCACATTTTGTCACATGCTCCTTTCACATGCTTTGGCCAGCCATATATTTCACTTTGCTAAACTATTGTAATGGTATGTGGGAATGATCTTGTGGGACAAGGGGAAGAGATGCTGCCTAGGGAATGATCAGATAAAAGGGGGAGGAACCCGCAGCTGAGTAACAGGCAAAGAAACTTAAAAAGGATCTGCCCTAACATATCAGGCTGTTAAAAGTGACAGCGGGAGATTTGTATTTTCAGACTTGCAAGATTCTGTTAAAGTAGCCTTACAATAAAGTAGAATTAGCTCACCTAGTCATGTTTCCTGTCTGGTTTACACCGGAGGGCTAATAACTATGAAGCTGTTACCATAATTTTAATTTTTTTTTAATGAGAAAGAAAATGCTCAACTTTATGATGGACAACCACTTTTTACTACATGGAAGTCTCTAACTGTCAACATTTGCTTTGTTATGTCTTTTTCGGCAAAACCCATGCAGGTTTATCAAGGAGTGAAGAAGCATGGCTTCTTGCAGCCCCACATCTTAGCAGAGCAGGAAGTAGTGATCACTACATATGATGTCCTCCGTTGTGAGCTGAATTATGTCGACATTCCACATAGCAATAGTGAAGATGGGCGCCGTTTCAGAAACCAGAAACGTTATATGGCCATTCCTAGTCCTTTGGTAGCTGTGGAGTGGTGGAGAATTTGCCTAGATGAAGCACAGATGGTAGAATGCACCACTGCAAAGGTGAGGCAATCCCTTAGGTATGAATCTAAATATGAATTGTATTAAACATAAAGTGGAAGGAACTTCTGTTACTGTTTAAACAGAGATGTAAACATGCCCTTGCACTTTATCTTTCAGAAGTGAGTAAATTATGAATTTCCCTTAGGGGTATTTGCTACTAAATATTTTCCCTCTTGGAGGTTTGAAAGGATATGATGCATGGTCCATTTTAAAATAATAACTTTACATAATATATTCTGACAGTTTAAAGAAGTAGGTCATGATGTCTTTTATACGGCTTCATGGTTTAAAGCAAGAGATTGATTTAATGCTATCTCAAGAGGCACAAGATATGCCCTTTGGGTTTAGAAGATGTAAAACTGTTTGCATTGACTTTAAAAATTGTATTTATGCCCATTCCAGCAACTGGTAGAAGATATTATTAATTCTAATTACTAGATTTTTAAAGATTACAATTTTATTTTACAATTTTATGTGCTACCCATTTCCAGATAGTTCAGGGAACCTTATAGAAATATAAACTTTAAAACTACAGCTGCATAAAAAGCCTCTGAAACTGTATAGGTCCTCATTCGATTGAGGTAAAAAATTACACCATGTATGGCAGATGGATAGATATTGAGAAGGCAAAGCAGGAAAACAATTAAGTAAATATGGGGTTTATGGGAAATGTGATGAGAATAAGGCAGATTTGCTGTAAGAGAAGGACCTCAGTTGCAGTGGTCCAGTTGCAATGGTCTAGAGCAATGATTAGCAAATTTTGGGTTCTGAGGGCACATTATTCCATGGCACCAGGAAATCCTGGTTCAAGTCCACACTCAGCCACGGAAATGGATGGGTGACCTTGGGCAAATCACATTCTCAGTGTAACCTGTGTCACTTGGTGTGGAGAAATGGGAAGAAGGAATGCTATGTATGCTATCTCGAGCACCTGAAAGAAAAATGGAATAGAACTCTAACAAATGAATTGATGCCTTATCAAGTCTTCTTGATACACTTACCAATGAATACATAAAAGCATACATATACACATAAGCTTCAGTTATGAGCATAAACTTCATTCCTCCATTCATACACAAACACAAAGCGTATAAAGCATATAAAACATGAAAAAAGAAACAGTTGCGGCTCAGTCACCATTATGAAGCTATCCTGAATAAAATTGTTTTCACAAGCTTGTGAAAAGCCAGTAAGAAGGCCGCCTAGCACAACCATCAGGGTTAAGGTGTTCCATCGTATTGGGGCTACAACAGAGAAAGCCTGTCTTTTTGTTCCATGAATCTCCTCAGTATGAGAGAAGTCAGGGTCTGGAGTAGGCTCTCTCTAGTTCTCCTGATAGGATGGGGAGAATTATTTTGGAAAAGGCAGATTCTAATATAGCCTGGAGTTATGCTATAAAAGGTTTTATAAATAATTATGAGCACTTTGAATTGGGCCAGAAAGCCTGCTGGAAATCTGTGTAGCAACTGAGAAATGGGTGTTTGATTAAGAAATAGGCGGTATATAAGCAAGTCTTACCTACCAGTAGCCTGAGAGCTACATCCTGTGCAAGGTGTGGTTTCCAGTTAATCTTCAAAGAGAGCCACAAGATGATGATATGAGTCAGTATTGCCAGGGTTCCTGCTTCCTACTCCTATTACTGCATTAGCTTACACTGGACAGAGGCTCCACTGGATATTACCTTGAACTTACAGTGCTGTTTGCTGCCTAGCTCTTGGATTTAGCATTGTTCCTACATGTTATGATCTTTTCTTACATTTTCTGTCATCCTGTATTAGGCTGCAGAAATGGCACTCCGATTGAGTGGAATCAACCGCTGGTGTGTCAGTGGCACACCGGTACAGCGAGGACTGGAAGGTGAATGATGATAGACATTGTCTTTTAAGCTGACATCAATGATCACTGACCTATATTTTGAAAACCAGCATTACTAGATGAATTGCTAGTGGATTATTTAGGCTATTTATAAGATGATGGGCTACTCAGTTTAATTTTTCAAAAAAGGCCAGCTTTTTTTATACTGTATATACTATCTAATATACTGTCCAAGTTTCATCAATACCTCATCCTCAAAAGAAAGCAATCTTAAAGTTATATAACTTGTCAGATGATGAACTAAAGTAGATTATATTTTGAGAATCACATTCATTCAAAATATTTTTGGAAAGATTGCAACCTGCACTCAGTAAACTTTATTCTTTCTCCGCAACAGATTTGTATGGATTAGTACTGTTCCTTGGTGCTGATCCTTACTGGGTCAAATATTGGTGGGATCAGCTTCTGTATCGACCATACTGCAGGAAAAACACACAGCCTCTCTACAACTTCATAGCCAAGATAATGTGGAGGTCAGCAAAGAAGGACGTGATTGACCAAGTAAACACTTCAGTTCTAAAATCATGTTATTAGATAATATTTTGCACCTAAACTTTAGTTGTTTATTATTGTTTCATTATTGTTAGATTCAGATTCCTCCTCAGACAGAAGATATACATTGGCTTCATTTTTCTCCTGTGGAGAGACATTTTTATCATCGCCAACATGAGGTGTGCTGCCAGGATGCGTTGGTAAAGCTCAGGAAGATCTTGGATTGGTCCCTCAAACTTAGCAGCTTGGATAGGAGGACTGTGACTTCCATTTTGTACCCTTTGCTGCGTCTGAGACAGGCCTGTTGTCATCCACAAGCTGTTCGTGGAGAATTTTTGCCTCTACAGAAAAGGTTAATTTCACTTTTTCTTAAAATGGATTTAGACTCATCATTAATATATATATGTAAATATTGGTCTTTTAGTAGCTATTCTAAAAATAGACAGTAAATAAAATTCAGCAAGTTCACTGTATGAAAAGAAAACATGTCAAGCATTTATTTGAAACTATGAGCCTGATATTCCAGGCAGCAATTTTACAGGCAGTGTAGTACTTGTGGAATGTTCAGCCCCTGAAGCTCTATTTACATGACAGTGCTCAAAAGTACCTACTGATACTCATTCAAGATGGGCATTTATTCTATCCACACACTGGGCATCATTACTACAGCTGCCAGTAGTCTTAGCATCCCATATGATTGAATAACAAGCCATTACAGTTCTTCTTTTCTGATAATATACAAAACAAAGATAAAATACAAAACAAAGATAATCACTCTGTGAAAATTCAACATGGCCAATATGACTTGTATTTAAAGACATGGAATTATATTCAGACCACCAGATTTATGCCCCCTATTTTCTTCTTATTGTATATACGGTTCCCCTAATTACATAAAAAGTGTATTAACCTTTTCTGAAAAGTAATGTCACTAAGAGTCGACACTGACTTGATGGCATGCAATCAATTTTTAAGAATATACTGAGACAGTTGTATGAATAGATACAAATAGATTTAGTCAATCCCACTTTGATTTCTTATATCTCTTCCTTAGAGTATGTATCCTTCTTGCTACTAAGTTCTATTTAGAGTTACAAAGTCTCTTAGACAAAGATTTTCTAGTCCTGTGAAGTCCTTCTAATATTGTAGTTCCAGTGTCTACACAACAAGCTGGTGCTATGCTAAACAATCACAAGCTGAATTTTGTGTACTTTCAATATACTATATATAGAAACACTTTTTAACTAGTTGGTGTTGACCTGCATTATTATCAAAGACTGATTGAGATAGGATACCTAGAGGGTATTTGTGTAACTGCCCAGTTAATTAGAGAATAACATATTTTATGTTACGCTTAGCTACAGTAAGAGATAGAGGACCTCTATCTTCAATATTTTGCTTTAGTGCCCACAGTTTTTTCTTCCAGGTTAATGTAGTCCTTGTGTTAGAAACTGTGTGAGGAAAAATGTTCTGATAATGGACAGGTGAGTCTTCATAGCCTTGAGCTCTGAATTCAGCATATGTGAGGCATATCTGCCTTAAAGACATAGATCTTTTGGCGTTACTGTACAGTCCTGAACAATGGCAGTATCAAGAACTAAATGAAGATTCTGTCTTGAGAAAGAAGAAATTTGGAATAGTGATAGGAATCTGATAACCGATCTTTTATTTTGCCTTTGATTACGGACAGTAGTAAGGACGAAATGGGAAATATATTTTCTTTCAAATTGGAAGAAACTATTATTTTGCTTGTTCTGGGTTTTGGATGTAAAAGAAAATTCCAAATGAGTGAGTAGGACTCTGCCGTACTCCATTCATTGCCCATCCCTGAGCTTCTTCCCTCCTTCCCTCAGTCACTGCTGATGTTTTTGCCAGTTTGCCTGCCTCCTCAATCTTCCTAGGACCTCTCTTTCCTTTTCTCTGCTGCTGCTGCCAGAGAATCCCTATGTGACATATTTCAGTGGCCAGAACCTTCCCCTTTCCCTGGATCTTCCCATTTCTTTCCTTTCCTTCTCTCCTCTTCTTCCCCATAGCCACCAGTGCCCCATTCCCCCTGAAATATTCCTGCCCAGGTGAAAATAGTCCCATTGCATTCCATGCACAGAACAAAACAATCCTGTTTGGTTCCATGCACTACCAAAATACCTGAAATGTGTGCTTTGGTTTGGGCACAGCTATTTGAAGCCAGCTGTTCTGTGTGCAGAATGGTTTGCGTATGAAACCTCTAGATCAGCCCTTCTCAACCATTTGACCCTGGAGAAACCCTTGAAATAGTTTGCAGGTTTTCCGTGGGTTTGAGTGCCGGGAGACAACCACGGCAGAGTGTTTTAAAGGACCCTAAGTTCACAAACCGCACTTTCTAATAACTTTCAGAAATTGCTTATTAACTACTTCTAAGCTATTAGAGACCTTTGGAATGACAAATTTGAAAAGGCCGGGTGAGTCTGCCTTTAGTCCTGAATGAAAGAGAACTTTAATTATAAGCTTAAGAATTTAAAGAACCTGAAATAAACAGCAAAAAGCTAAATAAGATTTTAATCTTGGAAAGTTATAAACAGACAAAGCATCCAGATAAAATTGGAATATTGAAACTTTTACAATAAGATTATGGAATTAATTATAAAGTAAAAACACCTTCTTGTGGGAAATGAAGCCTGTTTTGGTTTTAAAAGACACAACATAGAGAAATAATTTCATGATTTCAAAAACTGGACACTAGAGTGGACTAAAGATTTTAAGTAGATGAAAGATATACAGGCCTGCAAGATGGTTATGACAATAAAAATACTGAAGGAGACTTTTGAAAAATGGAATCAGAAAATAGTAACCACCATATCAATAATGTCAGTAATGATGTCTGCTTCTATGGATAGACTATGTCCAAAAATGTTATTGAAGAAATGTCAGATGTAGAACAAATTTTATCTGACAAGATAGAGATGTTATGAAAGTGGATTTACAGCTGACAGGCCAAGTTAATTATTTAGAAAAGGACGTTTCACCAGATCTACAAAAGAAACTGGCTGAGGTTTTAAAATTTAAAAAGGAAACACAAATGACAAACCAAGAAAGTGACCTGGATAATTTTTTCCTACTGAATTTACAAAAGAGGCTTGTTAAAGCCTTGAAAAATTCTGCAATGGAACAAAAAAGAAATGAAGAGAAATAAAATCCTACGACAATATTTGAATGTATTGTCGAAGGCTTTCACGGCT